ATCACACAGACATTACACCCCCTGTCACCCCCTATATACTCATCACACAGACATTACACCCCCTGTCACCCCCTATATACACATCACACAGACATTACACCTCCTATATACAGACATTAGATCTCCATGTAACATGTCTTCGGTCTATGTGCCGCCCCCCCCAGCATTGCAATGTGGAGATCTGGGGGTTGGTGATGGTCCCATAAACTTCTTGTCTTATCTGCTTCTGGTGCACACAGGCAATGGGCTGATCGGCTTTTATTGGCAGATTCCCTCCGATAATCACTGCAATATGTATCACATTCTGTACCGGCTTTTTCTGGGGAGATATTGATGGGCCCCTGTTGGGCCCGTGTGCTCCTTTTACATTGCCTGCTAAGTTGGCGGCCCTCCCTCTCTCTATCATTAGCCATCTCAGTGTTGCAGTACAATGGAGGTGCAGTCTTGGTACCATCACCATGGCTATCAGTGCTGCGGCAGGAGGTGCTTTTAAGTTGGCTTCAAGTTCTGTGCAGGGGTGTGGGAAGAACAATGAATCGATGACAGAAGGAGAGGATGGGATTTCTTCGGATGTTCTATTCTTGCCGTCTTATGAGGAAGAGAAATGTCTCTACTACGGTTACACATGTATATTTTCTTTGGTCATGGAAGACCCTTTGGAGTCCATTTATCAATGATTTGATGGACAATTCACCCAACATTCACCCAAAATAATCCAACATTATTTAATAAACATTCACCCCGTGCACTAAGCCAAATGAGTGGAAATTCGCCCCCAGATTCACCCCTAGATTCACCCCTAGATTCACCCCGTGAGACTGCTGCAAGTCTTTGTATGAGATTTGTGTTCCTTGTATAAACTCTTCCTTAACGTTTAATAGGAAGGTCTGGTGACCCGATATCTGCAGATTGACTGCGAGTGGAAATATTACAACCTATCAGCACTCAGCGAGCGGCCGCCAGCGTACGGTGAGTATACAGCCCAGGCGGCCATATTGATTATGGGATACAACTTATCCTCGGCACCAGGTGATTGAAGCCTTATGGGGGCAATATTGTTCAGTGCTGTCCGGGGTGCCTCTCTTTGCATCAGCAGTTAATAAATTGGGGTGCGTACCCCCTTCTTGTCGGTTCAGGTACTACTGATACACAACGTGTTAGCAAATATTAAAGAGGGCCTGTCACCACAGAGTCACTTCCACAAAGACGTTCACCTACACAAGAAATATTCCTTCACATACCTTTCTAGCACTTTCCATTGCATTGGACTGTCGGGACGCAGAGTAGAGGAACGGCGGCCACAAGAGGAGCAAACTAAGACTAAGACAGCTGTGACAACTGTCCGGGAGAGTTTTTCCCTCACTTCCTGTTGTGACTGCAGGACAGGAAGAAACCGTTATGTTTCACATCTCAGAGCAACCGGGGGAGAAGCTCAACAGAAAAGAATGACTACATGGACACCCCATCATAGAATGACTCTACATAGACACCCCATAATAGAATGACTACATAGACACCCCATTATAGAATGACTCTACATAGACACCCCATAATAGAATGACTCTACATAGACACCCCATAATAGAATGATTGTACATGGACACCCCATAATAGAATGACTCTACATAGACACCCCATAATAGAATGGCTCTACATAGACACCCCATAATAGAATGACTCTACATAGACACCCCATCATAGAATGACTCTACATGGACACCCCATAATAGAATGATTGTACATGGACACCCCATAATAGAATGACTCTACATGGACACCCCATAATAGAATGACTCTACATGGACACCCCATAATAGAATGACTCTACATAGACACCCCATAATAGAATGACTCTACATAGACACCCCATAATAGAATGGCTCTACATAGACACCCCATAATAGAATGACTCTACATAGACACCCCATAATAGAATGACTCTACATAGACACCCCATAATAGAATGATTGTACATGGACACCCCATAATAGAATGACTCTACATGGACAACCCATAATAGAATGACTACATAGACAACCCATAATAGAATGACTCTACATGGACACCCCATAATAGAATGACTCTACATAGACACCCCATAATAGAATGACTCTACATAGACAACCCATAATAGAATGACTACATAGACAACCCATAATAGAATGACTACATGGACACCCCATAATAGAATGACTCTACATGGACACCCCATAATAGAATGACTACATGGACACCCCATAATAGAATGACTCTACATGGACACCCCATAATAGAATGACTACATAGACAACCCATAATAGAATGACTCTACATAGACACCCCATAATAGAATGACTCTACATGGACACCCCATAATAGAATGACTCTACATAGACAACCCATAATAGAATGACTCTACATAGACAACCCATAATAGAATGACTACATAGACAACCCATAATAGAATGACTACATGGACACCCCATAATAGAATGACTACATAGACACCCCATAATAGAATGACTCTACATAGACACCCCATAATAGAATGACTCTACATAGACAACCCATAGGGTTAGGGTTAGACCACTGTCCCTGAGTGGTGTATTGCCCCCTCCCCCCCTCTCAAGTGGTGCCCATGGCACGTGCCCTGCTTGCCATACCCTAGATACACCACTTGATGCCGCCAGTGAGTTAATTGCTTGCTGCTCTGACCAGAAGACCAGTGAGTCTGGGTGGCCGAGTCCGGTAGGTGAGGGGCCCGTACTATGCCATGTTTGCAAGTTGCTGGAGGCAAGGTTGTGATTTCTCGGCAGACTTCTTAGGAGTTTCCTGAGCTGAACAGCCTGGGGCCAGGGAGGTAAAATAAAGCCTCCGGCTGTGTGAGTGGAGGTTCCTTGTCTGTGATGTGTTGCGGAGAGACATTGAGGTATTTGTGGTGTAGCTGCACTGAGGCTCTACAACATGCGTCTGCTCACCTTCATGGCCCCTCCCCCCCCTCCCATTGGCCACTGTCACCTTGTTGCTTATTTCAAAGATTGTTGTCTTTATAATTTCCTAACATCCTGCTAAATGTTTGTGTATCAGCACTAGACAGGAGCGATAATTAGGGGGTACACACCCCAAAATTTGTTCTAAAATATTACTGTTAGTGCAAATAAAAAGATGTTCAATGTCAGGAATTCCCGCGATCGTCATTGGTTCCAGCTGCCAGGTAACGGCGTCCTTAGTGTTTCTCACAATATAATAAAACATTCTTTGAAAAGTCTGACGGTTGTGTTCTGATATTTCTTCTCTATTCCTGCAGCTCAGATTAAGATGGGCGATCTCTTCTACACCCCCCATGTCCGGCGGAAGAGGGACATACAGGCTGCAGTGCACATGTACACTATGGCTGCTTTACAGCGAGAGCCTCAGGTGCCGTACGGCCGATCCTTATCCTCCTTATCCCGCTTATCCTCCTTATCCCGCTTATCCTCCTTATCCCGCTTATCCCCCTTATCCTCCTTATCCCGCTTATCCTCCTTATCCCACTTATCCTCCTTATCCCGCTTATCCTCCTTATCCCGCTTATCCTCCTTATCCCGCTTATCGCGCTTATCCTCCTTATCCTGCTTATCCTCCTTATCCCGCTTATCCTCCTTATCCCGCTTATCCCCCTTATCCTGCTTATCCTCCTTATCCTGCTTATCCTAATTATCCTGCTTATCCTCCTTATCCTCCTTATCCACCTTATTTTATCCTGCTTATCCTCCTTATCCCGCTTATCCTCCTTATCCCGCTTATCCCGCTTATCCTGCTTATCCTCCTTATCCTGCTTATCCTCCTTATCCTGCTTATCCTCCTTATCCTCCTTATCCCGCTTATCCTCCTTATCCCGCTTATCCTCCTTATCCCGCTTATCCTCCTTACCCTGCTTATCCTCCTTATCCTCCTTATCCCGCTTATCCTCCTTATCCCGCTTATCCTCCTTATCCCGCTTATCCTCCTTATCCCGCTTATCCTCCTTATCCCGCTTATCCCGCTTATCCTCCTTATCCTGCTGATTCTCTCTGTGTTACTATTATACATTATGATAGAGTTATAGACTCCAGGGGAGAGGGCAAATATATTCATTAGCAATTCAGGCATCTAAATCTAATAAACATGCGCGGGGGAATGCGCAGATGTCAGCGTGAAGTTCAGGGAATCATCCGTCATTCCGTATATTAGATGAAACTATCTGAGGTACAAATGAGTCTTTAATTTGATCAAATCACCATTAATTATCATCATTTTCATCTACATATGAAGAATAGACCCGCCGCAACAGTCTGAGCATCACCTGACAATATACCTGGACGGACCAAATGACATTTAGGGGCTGAAAGAGACACAAAATCCTAAACTGACAGCTGATCCACATCAAGCACGAGAAATAACTTCCTGATCCGCCGGTCACAGTCTGCGCTGTTATTTCTAAGAGTAGAATTTCAGATTTTTCTGCTTTTAGAAATATTTCCAGACTTTTGTTTAAACAATCTACTAACCATAAGGACAGAACGAGCTCCTGAGGAAGCCTATTCCACGTGTAAAGATCCCAGAAGAGGTTAAACACAGATTCCAGCAATCATTGATCACAGATCTAAAAATGAACAACTTTGCACCTTGTTGACTCGGTGGACCAAATATATAAAAGGGGATCATGTCTGTGAAGGTTCATTCATCCGGGTCACATGGTATAGCTGTAAAATATAAGTCAAGTATGGTGAATGTCGCTCCAATCCACGTTATCTGTTAGTCACAACCAGGTGATGATTCATTTGCATAATTGTCGTCTAGGAGGTGTTCCAACTCTATTGAAGCTTGGCTTCTCCATTGTTACATAAATGGCCTCTGTCACACCTCTTATACACCCGTCCTCCTCCCTGTCTAGGATGCGTACTTGGCTGTCTTCAGAGGAGTGACCTTTTTCCTTCAGATGTAGTTATACTGCTGAATCCTGACCAGAGGGTTTGGCTCGGCTATGCTGTGCCAGATTACGTCTCTCTCTGGAGTCTATACCTCTTATAATACAAGGACAGATAAGGAAGGATGAAGATTATCTCTCAGGCACAGCTAATAGTCAATAAAGTAAAATAAATGAATACTTGCAATTTGGTAGTGAAGTGGAAGAAGTCCTTCATGTACCGCCAGACAGTAACCCTTGGTAATGGAAGCAATCCTTACTGGGTGAAGCAAGAAATGGAGTGCAGCTGGTTCCCTTGTACTGAAGGCTTAAGCTGGGACATGAAAGGATTAACAGCCAGGCACATGAGCAGCTTCAGAATCCTGATGAAACCTTTAAGAGAGTTATACTGGAAGTGTAACGTTGGGCTGTGATCAGGCCTGGCGCTACCATATAGGCAGGTCAAGCAACTGCTTGATGGCGGCACCAGTGGGGGGGGGTGGAAAAATGCGACTGGTCGCAAGATGGCTACCTTGCATGCCGGGTCGAGTAGACAGTGAGAGGAGATCTGCACTCCCAGCCCTTCCTCTCAGCTGCCACAGGAGTTCCAGCACAGCGCTGTGCTAGAACTCCATTATTGGAGGTGACAGGTTCAATAAAGAGAACCTGTCACCTCCAAATTCTATCACACAGGGGCTTGTTATCTAGCTCCTGTGTGATAGCAATAAAGTTAATTGAAAAAATGTATAAAAAATTATAAAATAAACATTTGGGAAAAAATAAGTAAATAATTATAATTAAAATGATAAAAAGTAACAAATAGTAAGATTAAAAAAAATAAATTAACAAATAATTAGAAAAAAAATTATAACTAATGAAAAAGTGAAAGAGAATTATAAGTAAAAAAT